AAGACAAATATACCAACAACAAATTTTTTTAACTCAAAGTTTTTGCAAAAGTCAAATTTACGATTTCTCCATCATCAAACAAAGGAGAAATATCTGGTTCGCCCGTCATTCTTGACCAGATAGCTGCTAGTTATTTATAATTGTATATGTGTTATAAATTACATATGAATAAATACTATCTTCGTCCATCATAAAACAATTTTCGGAAGTTAATTTTGTATTATGATTATTCGAATAAAAACAGCCGTTAACAACATTTAGAAATATAAAATGTTTTTTCATTATTCCTAGGAAATTTTATTAAATAGGAATAATTGCAAATAATTCTTACTTATGATTATTTTTAAAATAATTTATTAATATAAATTATTTTAATAGAATAATCTCGAATAATTCGATCGAATAATAGATAAAAAAAAATTTCGACGAATAATATATTTTCCTATTCGAATTTTCGAATCGAATAATTGTGTTATTCGTATTCGTAAAATACGAATCGAATCAAATCGAATATCGAATAACATATAATTCGTTTTAGCTATACCCTCAACTCCTCATCGAATAGTAAAGACCAAGATTTGTACCAGGGACAGTTTAAGACTATCTGCTCAGGGTTTTGTCCCATGTATTTGAGAAATGGAATATCTTTAATAGAGGGATTAATCCCTACCAGTTTCTTAAAATTAGCCAGAAGAGGATTAAGTAAGACTCTATAGACTGGGAACTGGGAAGAGATAAAAGACAAAGTTTCAAATAAATTATCTCTACCTACTTATAACCACCTCGAATTGAAAACGGTAAGAAAGGGAGACCTACAAATAAATTAAATTAAGAGGAGAAGCCTCAAACCACGAAAGTTGTGCAATCGCCAATTAAAATAAAAAAAAATGAATGTTTAACATAATCTCAAGGAAGTTTTTAATAAGAAGGAAGCATTTAAAAATTATCCTAACAAGAATTTATATAATAGGAATCAGAGACCTGCAGGCCCTTAGCGCGACCAGACTAGGCTCGAGTACACTGTCTGTGATGTATTATTTTTTTAAAATATACCCAGGCAGTGCCGGGCCGTATATTTTATTACCAAATATATTAAAACGCCGTTATTAGCTATAAAAATTAATAATAAATATAATATAATTTTAAAAAATCTGGGCTAGGCCTGAAAAGTTTTTTTAATAAAAATTCTAGCCGGGTCGGGTTGGAAATATAAAAACTGGGCCGGGCTAAACCGAAAAAATTAACTTTGCATAAAAGTGAATTAGGAGGCCGGAGCGGGAAACAGTCTTGCTACTATCTTTGATTCCAAAACCAAATTTACAATCGTCAAGGTAATTAATATCTTAAAACCTAATACGGTTACTAAATTTTCAGTTAATCGAAACAAAAAGGACCTAACCGCTATGGACCTTATAAAATAATTAGGATTTGATAAAGCTATGAGACCCACCCCAAAAGGAATAGGAGATATCTCAACTGGAAGGGTTTAATTACCAATTTTATTACAAAATAAGGTAATTGTTAATGAAGGAATTATGAAGTAACATTAAAAAATACGTAGTTGAACTAAAGAAGGGGGGAGTAAAAGTGGGACCTTGGGAAATACTCGACAAGGAAGCCTTGGTATGTTTCTAATACAAAGTGGCAAGATTTTCATAATTAGTTAGGGCATTTTATCAAAAGATATGTCCAAATCAAACGTCCACATAACATCCCGTAAATTAATTTTTGCTAGATAAGCTTGCATTCTGTAAAAGGTATTCAAATTTTTGTACTTGGGAAGACCAGAGTATCAAAGTTTAAGATCCTATTCTTAATATTGGGGGGGGGGGCACTTTTATTAGTCTTAATGAGCTTTTATAGGAAAGGGAAATTTATCCAAGCAAAGGGGTTAAAATTTTCTTTAGGAGACCCGATTATCTCAGATAACTTGCCAATAATCAGATTACTTACATTTTTGGGAATATTGATAAAAATTAGATTTTAATAATTTAAAAAAAAAGAACCAAGGCAGAAATGTGTGAATCAGGTTTGAATTAATAATACTTTCGTATTCTTTGATCATTCAATTTTAACTAATATTTTAAATCATACTAATAATTAGTATTTTTAAAAATACAAATTTTATATAATAGCTATATTTTTCTTAAAAATTATGACCTACCCCCTCCTTATTTTTAAAGTTTAAGATATTTTAATTTAACCTTGTGTATATTTTTCATGCTTGGTTTATATAAAATTATAATTAAACAAAGCGAAATAAATAGAATATCATAAAAAATTTGCTGATATTAATTTTTAATTAATTATAGATATATAAATTAAAAAATGAACAGATATCATTCCTAGTAATATTAAAAAAAATATTTATTATTAATATTTAATTTATTTAGAAAAACGTAAAGATCAAATTAATCAGCAATATCATTTTTTATTAATACAATAGAAAATGTAAAAATACATACGATAAAAGTTAAGAGCTCTTATTTCTTATTAGTTTTGAGTCAATTTTTTTAATCAATTTATTTTATTAGGGTTAATTATTATTTTTACCAATGGTAAATATCTGCCTAATTATTATTGAGTATTTAGATATCTTTACTGGAAATATTATATTTAAAAAAAGTATTCATTATCAATATTCTTTAGAAGTAAAACTTCCTCAATTAAAAACTCTATATGCATCCATCCAATTTATTCATATTCAATATATTACAAAATTTAACATAAACAATTTATAACAGTCAATAACTTAAAATTATAAGAATCATTACAAATAATTATTATATTTAATACAAATATTCCTATAAGATTTTTAAATTTTATGGTAATTTATTCTTATAGGTGGTAAGCTTTGTTTAGATGGCATTGGGTTAAACTATATATATCATTGGTTAAACTACTCGATTTGAGCAGATCGCAAGCAGGAACATTTAGCTCATATGGCACAAAGTTTGGACATCTATTATATATTTTTTTGTAATGGTTTTAACGCAGGAACGGTGTCATACTTTTTATATACGCTTTAAAAAATTGATAGAATGGGTATATTGATTTTTTATATGGATGGGCATGGGTTAAATTTTTTTTAAAATAATAAGTGACAAACGGACAGGTAAAGAATTTTAGACTAATAGGTGAGCGGGCATATTTTTTAAGATTATAAATGTGTAAAACATTTGATGGGAGGGCTAGGGAGCCAAGAATCTCTCGTAAGATCTTCCGCAATTTTAAAATTTTTCCCATATTAAAATTTTCATCATTTTAATGCTTTAAACTTATAAATATATTAAGAAACAGTTAGGAGTAAAGATCGTATAAAATTGATATATTTTTATAAAAAAATATTATTTATAAAATTTTACCTCGTTTACCAGATCAAAGTATTTACTTTTATATAGTAAATAAAGTAATTCCCCTACAATAGAATAAAAAGAATAAAATACTACCTTTTTGGAAAAATATTATAAAACGATACTGACTTTGCTAAGAATGAAATGTAGACATTTTCATTAACTCATCCGTAGATTCTACCCGCACATATTTCCTTTCCGCAATTGTCATATTTATCCTCTCAAAAAAATTTCTCCCGAAATTTTAAAATTTTAACCTGGCAATCCTGAACTAGATCCATTTGAAAAGTGTCTTTTAACATCTCTGTTTTAAAGCTTAAACCATATTTCAAAGAAGAAAAATAAATAAGCTCTAGATACAATAACAAGACAAAGTATCATCCATTATCAAGTAAATTTTAGTTTATCTTTTAGAATAATACCATGAAAAGATCTGATACATATTTTGTAGCTAACGAATTTCCAGTTTTATGTAAGATCATTAAAGATATTTTTTCTTTTAATTGCTTGAATTTGTCAATAATAATATTAAACAGCTCGATTTTAGCATAATTTTAAACGGTTTACTCTATATTTTAGATAGAAAAATATTGGCAGATCCTCGAGATTTCGCTAATAGATGCCCCCAAAAAAGTATATTAGATTCAGACCACATTTCTGCACCAAGATACTTGTTTCTAGATGCGTTAACTACATTGCGTTAGAATTATATAAACTAATATGTAAAAAAAATTTGATTAAATATGAGGAATATTTTATAATTATTTTAAATAATTCTTTATTTAAATCTTGTTATTAATTTATAATTGTATAATTTATAAAATGAAAAATATATAATTAGTAAACGATTACGGAAAAAAATATCATAATAACAAAAAGACAATATTGAGGCATAGATCACTTTTATTTATAAAAATAATTAAAAATTCATTATTTAATAAAAAAATTATTAAATAAACAATCGCCATTTATTGAGAATATCATAAAATTTTAAAGTTGGTATATATCGATTTTACTATACATATCTGTATGTACCAAAAAATTAATGTTTTAAAGATGAATTTATATAGCCACGGAGGATTATTAAAATGCATCGACACCAAATTTGAAGAAACCTAAATATAAACAACCAATTTCAATTTAATTATTAAAAATATCATATAGCTCAAAAAATTTAGATGTGAAGAAATTGATTATTGTAAAAGGAAGACCAACTTAAAAAAAGAAAAGAAAGCTTGCATTAGTAATTTTTCAATTGATAAATAAATGTGAATGGCTTACTGAATGAAAATTTTATAGTTCTCTCTCTATATTGTTGGTCATGCTTATTATTCCTAAAGAAAAAATATATTTGGATGAAGGATTTTCGGATATGAAAATGTTTCCGCTCAATTGTAGTCGTTGATTCTATTAAAATCATTTGACAAAAATCGAATTGTTAAGATGATTGATTCGATGTTCAAAATATCAATCAATCAAAAACATATGAATTTCGCTTATTTATATAAGTTTATTGTAAGGTTTGATTAAAATGTTTTTCAATTGCTTGTATTGTAGTAAACTTGATGCTTCATCACTGGTATAAAACTATATTATTGCTATTGCGATCTGATCAAAAAAATATTTCAAATATGTCCTAATTTGTTACAGGATGTCAATCGTCTGTTTTTTCAAAAATTAGTATATTTCAACGATGTCTATAAAAACAAAACAGAGAATTAATTTGGAAAAATTGATGAAAAATATAGTTTATAGTTTTTATTAAAAAAGTTTTTATATGTTCGTTTAGGACAAACCTGTTCATATTCCTGAACCTAGTAAAGACAGAAAGCCACCACAACCACCAGAATATGTTAGGAACGTAATGGGTCTATATTTAATTTTAAAATCGGTTTTATTATATAATTCTATAGGCTCAAGTGCAGGTGCAGGAAGTGCGGAATTTCATTTATATAGAAACTTAAGAAAACGAGATATGATTAGAGAAGATATAATGAAAAATCAAATTAAAAAGGTTTTTAAACTATTATGCATTATAATAAATTATTAAGGAAACAAAAGAAAAAGAGTTTCAGGAAAATTTAGAAAAAATAAATAAGGAAAAAGAAACAAAAAGGACAAAAAAAAGGGCCAAAAGGTTTGTATATTTCTAATTAATATATACTTTTTCTTAGGCTAAAATTAAAAGCAAAAATTAAAGAAAGAAAAAAAAACATAAATCATATCAAAGAAATCAGATTAATATCAACTGAAAACATAGTACATTTTCAGCAAGATAATGAATCAGATAAATTTCCTAACAATGAATTACATCATATAAAAACTCCATCTCAATGAGAAATTCATTGTATTATTTAAATAAACATGTTTTATTCCTTTGTTGACATTTAATTTATTATAAAAAATATAATTAAATAAATAAAAATAATAATGGTTTGGTTTGTTTAGTAAAAAAACAGTTAGAATTGTCTGATAAATTCTCTAAAATATTTTTGTGGTTATACCTAGACTTGTTCAACACCATGTAAATCTGCCATCACATATGATTATTGATCATATGGGTTTATATATTCTTGATTATTATTATGGGATTACTCACTACAAATATTATTGGTTTATAATAATGATCATAGGATAATGCAATCGATTTTTGGGATATCTATTCAATCCACCTTTGCTACTACATATGATAACTGTTGACAATCAACTTTTGAGATATTAAACCAACATTCACCAATTCTCCTGACCTTAGAATATGAACTATCAACTTCTAATATATTTATTGAACCAGCTTTCACCCCTGCTCCTGATAATTCTAAAATATAAACAGAATCAATTTCTGGGATATTTATTTCACTAACATTCACCACTATTCCTATTTTTATTACATTTTTGATTATTTTCACAATTTATAAATTTATTTTTATGAACATGTTATAATTATGTAATACTTTTTGATTTTTTTTTGTGAACATTTTATATTTTTCCATGACCATTTTTAATACATTTTTTATCTATTTTTTTTAGAAACCTCTTATAATCATAAATATAAAAGATATTTTGATTTTTTATATGCTGTTAATATATCTTATTTGATTTTTATAAATTTATAACCTTAAAATCTATAATTATCCTCCTAACAATTTCTAATTTTTCTATGCTATTAATTACTGATTTTTTTTATAGTGGCCTAAATGTAAAGCTCCTAGCTATCATTAAATGATTAACAGTTACTATTTAAATTTATTAGTAAATTTATATAAATTAATAAAATTGTAATATATATTAATCAAGAAATTATTATATAGTCTTGTAGTATAATTATGGTTAATGATGCTTATTACCTTAAGGTACTACCTATCAAATTTATATTTTGTTTATTTTTCATTTGGATAGGCACTACCAAATATATTTATAACATATATTTGAAAAATCGTGATTTTTGAAAAGCCTCTGTGGCCTAGTCGGCATTTGCTTACTTATCCCATAGTCATGGGTTCGAATCCCGGGGTCATGTCTTTTTCTTAATCTAACTTGGTGGTTCCATCCTTGGGGAGATGTATAGGAGGCCAGACTCGACCACGTTTCCGTTATAATATATTAAATAATAAGGATCTTATTACATTTTAATAATTTTTTGTCGGTATTTAGCAAATTAGGTTGGTATTTAGAATATTTCCATACATTCACTTGGTAGTAAACATCATTAACCTATAAATCAAAATGGCGCACTGGGTGCTAAGCCGGCCTTGTTCTATCATCTAAAATTTTTACTGAATTTTTCATGCAAAATTAAAAATATAACCTTAATTCTTGACTTAAAATATTACCATAAGTAGTAATATTTTCAAAAGATTTTTATTTCTACATATTTTTTTTCGATGTTTATATTAAGAGTTGTTGGAGCGGGAATTAGCTCCTTTTAGGGCTGGAGGGGAGGAGCGCCGCTCCACCACTCTTTTAAATTTAATGGATAAATTAAATTATTTTTTAAATCAATAAAAGTGAAATTTTATTTTATTTAAATTTATGCAACATTAAATGTTGAGCCGAGTTTTATATTGGTTTTTCATCTAATCAGATAATATATTAAACATCAGGTTTTTCAATTTCTTGGAAAATCTTGTAAGTCATATTATATTAATATTCTTGATATTACGGATCCAGACATCTTAGAGGAAGAAATCGCAATAAAAAATAAATTATCTATTTAAATAACTTTATAGCAGAATTTCAAATGTTTATAATGATGAAAATATCATTGCTGCTATTTTCCATTCTGCATTCAAATTAAATTGGGAATGGATAAAAAATGCACAAAATATGGAACTAAATTAATTAATCAAGGAAACAAATTTCTGATGCAATCGCTACTAGTTCACGGGAACCCTGCAATGATTTGGAAGATTTTTTTGGATTCCATGCAATTGATCACCAGGAAGATAATATATTGGACAAAAATTTTTTAAAAAATGATATCAAAATTACTATTTTTGATATATTTCCTGAATTAAAAAATATTTTTATAAAATATAAAACCCTCTTCCTTCTAGTGCTCCTGCTGAGCACCTGGTTAGTATTGCTAAACATGTTTTAGGGGAGAAGCGTGGATGTTTGTTGGATTCAAATTTATTACTTTTAAAATAATAAAAGATTAAAAATATTTTGATATATCATTTAATATAAATAAAACATTTTTGATAAAAAAATATGATTTTGTTTCGTGTACTTTCTAAAAAAAAATGAAAATCAAAGGAGCGGCTATGGAATGACACTCCATTACTTGAAGCGGGAGCTAGCTCCTTTTAAAAATATAGTAGCGGAGCGCGAGCCAGCTCCTTTTGAGAGGTAAGAGCGGGAGCTAGCTACCTTTAAAAAAGAGCGTTAACAACTCTGTTTATATTCTTAAGCATTTTCTCAGAAATTTTTTTTCTTCAAACTTTTTTCCACTAATCTTAAAGCCCTCTATAACTATATTATTTTTTTACAATTTCAATTTTTATTAAATAAAGTTTCATATATAATGAATAACATATTTTTTATAAACATAAATAAATAACGGGCAATACATCTAATAATAGCGTTCACATTTTATTATTAAAAAATGGAATAACTTCGCGATTTTTAAATTATAATATTGACACACTATCATTTCGAAATAGAGCTTCTAATAAAAGGAATTAAATTTAATTTTAAAATATCTCCTAAGAAATTAAAGGGTTTTAAGATGAATATAATATTATAACAATTCAAAATCAACTATTAAAATCATCTGAAAATAATTATGTTGATATAATTAGATGAATATTATTTCTAAACTTGATCGATGCATAGATTCTGAGACTTGTGTTAGATAATGTATATTTATAATAAAATATCAGAATATTATATGGCCTTTATAATGGGTATGTATTATATTTTAAATATTGATAGGTTAATATAAAATAATAATATACCCCTTAAAAAATGCAGTAATAATATTATTTAAATGATATTCTAGTCATAAAAACATTGATTGTTGTAAAAAATCTATGGAAAGTAATTAAACATGATAATTCAACGCTTTAGTAAAAGGACATTTTATATAATATCATGATTAAAATGTAATAATATACATATAATTTGGAAGAATTATGCTATAAAAATGTTTCATCATTACGTGAAGATAAGATATTTAAAAAAATAATTCTCTTAATAATTAGCACGAAGGTAAATTTGATCGCCAAACAAAATTATTGAGGTCTCAGTATTGTGTATTTTATTTCGTTATCACAAAACATAAATAACGTTAAATGGGGGAGGAGGGGGGGGGCAGAAATGATAAACATTATCTTGTACCTAAAAGAATCATCGTATTTTTTTTTACAAAAGTAAAAAAGTTAATCGTAATACAATGTCTCAATTTCTTTTTACATCAAAACAATCTTTTTCATGCTTCCAAAATATTATCGTAAATTATGAATATATAATTAAACTACTTTCTAATGACAATATTTGAAGCGAAAATTCCGATATACATTATATATGATAAAAAACGTAGCGTGTGGCCTAAAAATCAACAATTCTCTTCTAATGAAAAATAGTATGTATACGGCGAATAATCAGTGGCGATTTTGGTAGGTGTCTACTTCTCCGACTCCCGACGAAGAAGATGAAGATTCCTCACATACTTGATTCCTTGCAGCAGTGGAAGCCTTTTCGGTTATAGGGGATTGATCAAAATCGTGACTGGCGCTGGTGGTAACGAGTTCCGCGCGCGCGCTCCTTCTAGAACGCTCACTTCGGTCGAACTCACGCGGTTCGGGTAGGCGACGTCCGCCGGTCACTCTGGCTGAAGCGGATGCATTAAAAGATCGGCGGGGGCGAAAGGAAGCGCGGGAAGAAGAAGTGCGCGAAAGAAGAGATAGTCTGTTAAAAAGGCGCGAAGCGGATGGTTCGTTTGCGGGCTCGATGACAGAGAGATTGTGTGAGGAGAGTGGGTGAGTGGCTCGCCAGTATGATTCGAGAACTTCTGACAAGTGCTCGCAAGCTTCCTCCAATTGATTCTCTTCTAGGATCACGTCAAACATTTCCTACAAGTGAAATTGTTTTAAAAAGCTAATTAAATTATATTCCTATTTCTTCAGGTGAAATACTAATTACAAAAAAGATAATTACAATAATAACCGACAATACAGAATAGAGGTCTGCATTGGGCAGGTATATAGCCCACTCGCCCATACTTTGAATGGGCATGGTCGGGTTGGCCTTATAAAATATTTTCAATATTGGATGGGTGTCGGACGGGTTAAAAAAATTTTTAAAATGGGCGGGCAAATTTTTAATATTTTTTAGTAGATATGAGCAGAACAGACTTCAATTTATTAAAAATAATAGTTTTATTTTATAATATTGCATATTATATATGTTTAATTAAAAATACATTTAAATAAATAAATAAATAAAGAGCCAACCAGCCATTAAAATAATTTCTAAACATTAGACAGGCTGGCGGGTTAAACAATATAGATAAATGGGCAGGCGGGCGTGTAAATTATTTTAAAAAAAACTATAAGTGAGAGGGAGGGCGGGTTAAATAAATTTCAAAACAACGAGTAGGAGGGCTTTTGGCTAAAAACCCACCCATTAAAGACCTCTAATACTCCATATTCCTGAAAATTATGTTATAACTACACTGCATATGCAAAGAGTTTTTATTTAGATTTGCTTAGAAAAATTTGCAATTGTATGAGAATGTGTTTTTTTAAAAAAACTAATTTCATAATTTACTCCCATATAATCATACTAGTTATCTAATATCAACCAAATTATTGATTTCAAAAAACAATAAAATTTTTATAAAAAAGATTCGCCACCCTCCCCCTTCCCCATACCCCTCTGACATGCTACTCACTCTTTATAAGCATTATGTTGATATTAAAGGGTGAGACTTATTAAGTTTTTAGGATTAAATTTTTCTTTTAATATATATATATAATTAGTTACAATTAATGAGACTTGTTTATTTTTTCTCCTTTGCAGAAAATAGTTTGCCATTTCATCTCCAAATTAGTTGATCTTGGCCTGGGCACAATTCGCAGAGGCCTATAACTTATTGATATTTACTTCTCCAATTCACTATGAGGTGAACCTTAAATATAGACATTCACACCATCACTTATTCCTTTTTTAACCAATAAGGCTTTAGTCTGACAATCACCATATAACTATCATGGTTATCACGTTATAACCATATTACTTTAGATTAAAATCCTAATTTTTTAGACAATAAATGATATTTATTTTCTAATACTACTTATATTCTGTATTAAATAGGTTTGTCAAATCTAACAGCCATTACTACTTATCAATTGCAATGGCAAAAACTTTAGAGTGAAATAAATATATCTTCTTAGAAAATAAATTATTTTTTACAATTCGTTTTAAACACTTTAAAAGATTATGGAACTTGTTGAAAACCTTCTTAAAAACATTAGCAAAAACCCGCTCTCACAAAGGACCCCATCTATCTAAAGCTAGAAATAAGGTTCATTGGTTAAAATCGCATTAACTTCAGGTCAATTAAAAGCTTCATATATTACCCAGAGCTTAGTAGGATAGGACTGAGTTTCATAATTAAATGCTCGTATAAAAGTTTTTCATGAAGCTAATTATCCAGGGTATGTTAACTAATGAGTTTGTTGAGTGTAGAACCAAATTTCTTCCCTTTTTTTAAAAAAAGGTCCTCCATTTTTTTTTATAGTTTGGATGTATTTTGTATATTTTTTATGATACTTAAGAATGTATCTCACCCAAATTGAAATACTTCTCCACCTGCCCATTGCAGACCTCTAATACTGCATATTCCTGACAATTATGTTATATTATTTATACGAAATGTTAGCAGCATATTACCGTAGAACATTGAGAAAGTTTCTCGGCAGTAACTAATTGAACGTTTAAGTTTCGCGATTGCGATTTTCCCCGAGATTTAATGAGGCGAGTTAATACCTATAAAAAAAATAAAATTCTATGTTTTATACACTAAGACGAATGCATAATTAAATAATCTGATATTTTTTTAGGTTATGAATGAATTTAAAATTTTAACTTTTTGGGAAGATATTTTAACATATACAATGATAGGAGCCAATGATGTTTTCGCTAATTGAGAGGGATGATTAATTGTATCACAATCTAGAACTACTAACTGTAAATTTCGCGCTAGTTCAAATATACGTTCGATTTCCGCTTGAATTTCGGCTTGTTTCAATAAATTACAATTTGGAAAATAATTTTTATTATAACTTAATTTTGATTACCTAATGTTGTAGAAGTTTTGTTGGCCGATGATGTTCTGTCGATAATAGCCCTTTTGGAAGGATTATTTAAAACGGAACGTTTAGCCAATGATATATCCACACTAACTCTCGTTATTATAATTCTACGAATAAATATGAAAACATTATATTAAATACTACTTTGGGAATATATGGCGCATATTAAAATAAGAGGCTCTGCAATCAAGATTACTTATTTCCCAAAATCAAAGTTAATTATATAATAAAATCTTTTAAGAAAAGTTTTTAATAGAAAACGAAAAAGCAAAACATTCAGAAATTGGATTTCTTATAGTATTGATAAGGTTTTCTTTATTAACTTGTTTCTTATTTGGGGGTGAAAACATTCAAATCGGATATATGAAACTGTGGCTGTAAACATTTCTTCTAAAAACGAGTTGTGGTTCAGTGAATCTTCAACCCCGATTGTAGTGTTGTTAAACGGCTCATTTTAAGCCGATTTTTAAAAACGGCTAAATCAATATTTTATTAGGAAAATTATTATGCAAGCCTTTAGATTTTGCTCATAGGCGGAACACAGGTTTGAACATCTATTAACGAAATCTCGAGGTTTAGACAATAGTTTTCTGGCTAAAATATTGAGTTAGCCGTTTTTAAAAATCGGCTGAAATCGAGCCGTTTAACAACACTACCCGATTGGAGGACTAGAAGTTGGGTCATTCTATATCAAATAAATCACTTTATAACCCGACCATCTCAGATTTTGCTAAAATTTGATATGCAAGTTAATGAAGTGTTGTAATTGACGAATCCATAATATTAGCCCCTTAACTCTACTAGAACCGGAGGTATAGGGTCTCAAAGTGGCCCTGCTTGGTCATTTTTCGAAAAAAATGATTTTTTAAATGGCTCATTTCATAGCCGTAAGTAAACTCTTCTACGTATTGTAAATAAAATTAATATTTAATTTATAAATTTTTTTAAATTGCAGTCATAAATTTGTAATTAATTTTTTGAATGTTGGTATAAATTTTTTTTCCAAATTTCTGATATTTTGTAAAGAGTACCCCAAGAACTGTTCATATAAAAATTTTCAGAGTGGTAAAAAATGGTTAAGTAGCAACAATGCTTAAATATAAATTCCGCTAGATGGCGGTAATAATTTTAAATAGCTTAAAACTTAATTTTTGAAAATATAAGTCAATCTAAATACTATAATATAATATTTGTTGAAAAAAATCGAATTATGGCACAAAAATAAAATTTACGCTAGATAGCGCAAGTAATTTTAAAAAATAGCTAATTATGATTTAAATTAATTATCGATTTATCGATTCATTTTCCCAATAAATTTATCGATTTTTAAAATTAATAAATACTATTTAAATTTGAGTATCATATGTAAAAATCCTTCTAATATAAATAAACATTTATCAAAGAAGAGATTACAGTAAGTCGCTGGATGACAGAATTAGCCAAAATCAATATTAGCGATTATATCTATGTTACATGCCGCTTAACTTTATATAAATATAAAAAGGAGGGCATTCCAATTTACCAAGAAAACAATACCGGTACAACTTTATATGAATTCTTAAAATTCACGATAGAATTAGAAAATGATACTTAAATTAATAACGAGAATGCACAACTCCCTATATCTTTCGTCGAATCCTAAAATTCAACGTTATTAGATATTGGACAATCTCCATTAAAAAAGAGTAAAAGAAAAGTAATGTACTAAGCAAAAGCTTGCAAGAATTTCAAAGGGTATAGAAAATTCTTCAACCAGCGATGGAGATAAATAATAGCAACCATTTGATAATTCAAAATAGTTATGTATGCTCCAATTCGGAGGTAATGTAGTTAATAATAGATACTTCTGTGTTTTAGATAAGAATTGATAATCCTCCGAATTGGAGCATACATAACTATTTTTCATATTTTGAATTATCAAATCATTGCTATTATCTCCATCACTGGCGTTGCTATTATTTATCTCCATCGCTGGTTGAAGAATTTTTCCTAAACCCTTTGAAATTCTTGCAAGTTTTTGCTTAGGATATTACTTTTCTTTTAATCTCTTTTTTAAATTGGAGATTGTCCAATATTTAATAACGTTGAATTTAAGGATTCGAAGAAAGATATAGGAAGTTGTTCGTTATCGTTATTAATTGGAGTATCATTTTCTACTTCTATGGTGGATTTTAAAAATTCATTTGAATTTGGTATTGTTTTCCTGGTAAATTGAAATGCCCTCCTTTTTATATTTATATAAAGTTAAGCGGCATGCAACACAGATATAATCGCCAATATTGATTTTGGCAAATTAGGTCATCCAGCAACTTACTGCAATCTCTTCTTTGATAAATGTTTTTTTATATGAAGGATTTTTATATATCATGATATTCAAATTTGTAGTATTAATTAATTATAAAAATCGATAAATTTATTGGGAAAATGAATCGATAAATCGATAATTAATTTAAATCATAATTAGCTATTTTTTAAAATTACTTGCACTATCTAGCGGAAATTTTATTTTTGTGCTAAAATGCGATTTTATTTAACAAATATTATATTATGGTATATAAATAAAAAGTAGATTGATTGACTTATATTTTCAAAAATTAAGTTTTATTCTAATTTATTAACGCCATCTAGCGGAATTTCTATTTTAAGCATTTTTCTTACTTATTTTTTTTACCACTCTGAAAATTTTTATATGAACAGTTCTTGGTACTCTTTACAAAATATCTAAATTTGGGAAAAAAAATTTATACTAACATTTAAAAAAAATTAATTACAAATTTTTGACCGCAATTTAAAAAATATCTATAAGTTAAAAATTAATTTTATTTAAAATACGTGGAAGGGTTTACTCAAGGCTATAATATAAAATGAGCCATGATAGATATATATAGTACATCTAATATTAAAGTTATCCCTATTTTAAAAAACCTTTTTTTATGAAAAATGACAAAGCAGGGCCACTTTGAGACCCTAGATCTCTGGTTCAAGTAGAGTTAGAGAGATAATGTTTTAATTTTGTCAATTACATCACTTCATTAACTTATACCAAATTTTAACAAAATCTGAGGTGATCGGGTTGTAAAGTGATTGATTTAATTGACCCAGTTCAGAAAAAAGAGACTTATAAAATTAAATAAAAATAACAGAAATATCAGTTTTTTGAAATTTATTTTACCATATTTAGCATTCATCATAAAAAAAATTTATTATCATAATTATAATAATACAATACAATTTAAAAAATATATTCTATTTGATTTTTTGAATTTTATAAGCGAATTATCATGATATCTTCCAAAATCTTAATGTTAAAATAAAAATATTAATGTTTATGCCTAACTCAGTGCATTACAACTTGTATTTAATAAAATAACCTTGTGATTATGTACCTTTCTTTCGTTTTACTTTGAATTTAATAATCCGACAAACAACAATAAATATTTATAAAATATATATTAAAATTATAAAAAAAATACAAAATATGCTGGTAAAATCTTTACATAAAATATAATAAAAATGATTACATGAAAAATGATTTTCACAAAAAATATTTTTATTTTGAAATAAAAAAAAATAATTATCTTTAAATGACAATATTTATAATATTATATTTTGTATATCCAATAAAAATTTATTTATACATGGTATTTTTAATATATTTTTTTAAATAAAAAATTCTATAACCCTAAACCCAAAATTTAAAAAATATTAGGGTTGAGTAAAATATCGAGGGTTCACAGCCCTGACGTGAAAGTTTAGAATGACAGAATATCAATTATATAATATTCATAGATACATTGAACGCATGTCCATTTCCTAATTCTGATTTTTATACTATCATTGAAATGTAATAATATTTTATTTAGCTATAATCACCCAGCTCGATACATTTATCTATACCCACCCCAGGCGCGTACCCAATGGGGGAAATTCCCCCCCCCCCCATCGCAAATTTGACTATTTTCATAAATATCATTTTAAGCTAATAAAATTTTTACCCCCCCCCCCCCCTCCCCCAATCAAAATTTACAAATATTTGAATATCAATTTTCCAACATATTATTCAAAAATATTAATAAAATGGAAAAATATTTAGTCAAAGAGATTGAAATCAAACGATAATTTATAAATAAGGCTGAGCATGAAAAAAAGTAATGTGTCGTCAGCAGCGATATCATATTGAATTGAATTGATAAATCAGAGTTTATCATTGCTGCTAGTTGCATCAATAAATTATTTTTCGTTGACTCGAAGGCTAAATTTTATGATATAGGATTAATTAAACCTCGTCTAGCACCTAGGCCATTATTGAGATGAAAATAAATATTGGCTCAACTGAAGAATATTATAAAATATCCATTTTTATCCCATTCTTAGGTACTTTTTTATCGCAAATAAAAGTACGGGTTTTAGATAAAAAACAAGTCTTTAGCAATCTTCAAGTTTTATTACCCAAAGATCCTTCTTCATTTTCTAATGCCACTATTGGTAAAATTAAATATTTAGAAAAATTTTATTCCTATGTGATTGATACTGAAATAAATTTAATCAGTGAATTCGAATTGTGGTATAAATATTTATACGTTTAGCTATTTTACCTGAGCATTCTATTGATGCGCTCAATCGGTGTAAAGAAACCTTGGCTCAATTTCCTAATATTTCGAAGTTGTTTTATATTCTTGCATGTTTGCCTATTACAACATGTACGAATGAAAGGACTTTTTCCAACTTGAGAAGGTTGAAAACATATTTACGAAGTACTGAATCTCGGCTAAATGGGTTAGCTCTGTTAAATATACACAGAGATTTGGTTCCAACGACAAACGAAATAATTAAAAATCTTGTATTTGATAAGAAGTTAAAAAAACTTGTTAATTTAATTATTTTCTAGTCAATATTTTAAACACACTACTATTAGTATTTTCAATAAAAAAATTATATTCTACTTATATTGAATGAGAATTTAAGCTGAGGCTAGTTTTTAAAGCAAATTTTATAAAAAAAATGACATTACACTTTATTTCAACTTTACATTTAAAAAAACCTTTACATTTAAAAAAACTTTATTAAATATAATGTACCTAACTTGAAATAATAAAAAAGAGGCTTGTAATATCCTATCCATAAGCATGAATTAGTAAATAATAGTTAAAAATAGAAATATAATTATTATTAAATTATGAATAATTGAATAGAATAGCTGAATAAGACCCGGCCGAAGGCCAGGTAAAAGGGGTTTGGGGGCGAAGCCCCCAAAAGTTCCCCCCCCCCCCCCACCCCTATAAGAAAATCCTGAATACGCCACTGACCCACCCTAAAAAAGAAACTAAGACAAATCAAAATTAAATTATCAATTACAATGTGCAAAATAAGAACTAATTTGGCGATCCCTAAAATAATCTAATTATGGCAACCCGATGCCGCTGTCTTATCCGCTCCCCAGTGTGTACCAGCCTGGAATAATGCATTAATGAAAGATGTGGTAATTCAATAAAAATTTTGAATAAAATCTCATTTCTGCGGTAAAGGGAATGGTAGAAAAGAATAAGCTAATGATATTATTTGAAATGCCAGTCATACGATACAATGTATAGCTAGTATTTTCTTGATGGCCAAATTAAGAATTGGTAAAATTAATGAGGTTCGGGGGGATAATAAAAGAATTTTATATTATTTAAACAGGGAATTAGGGCTACTAAAAGATTTTAAGCCTAACACTTAAAAGCAATCCAAATTTTCAATGCCTTAGAAGTAGACCGATACCGTTTGTGTAAAAACATAATGAGAAAGTGAACTGCAACAACGAGAGTTTTAGAAAAAATAAAATATATCGCTTCTTCAATTGTACATGTACTGAGAGAAAGGATGGATCTATAAGAATTTGTGGTGACTTCCGACGTTATTGATCTATATTCTTTACCCAGAATTACATTAGGTCCGCCCCATAGCAAGAAATTTAAAAAAAATATAAAAGGGCTTCATGAATTGTGGATTGCAATTCCATTTCAAATAGGTTATATTCTATTCTAAATATTAGGAGAAAGTTAAAATTATTTAAAATATTTATTTTCTTACATTTTTTAAACCTTAAACACTGATGGATATATCAGCCAAAAGAAATTCTATTTAGTTTATCTCTTCAAATAACTATGATTAGAAAATTAGTGTATGAAATGTTCAGATATCCAACAAGATGAATTCGACATCAAGCTGTAACAGCATTTTTTCGATCTAGAAAAGCCTATTATGTATGCCCTCGGAGAAATATTAGAATCATCTGAAACACATATTTTATCTGAAGCTGATACATTATTAGATATAATATGACTACCGATTTTTTTCATTGGAATGTATTAAAAATTATTTATTACACACAATTTTATGCATTTGAAAAAAATGGATTTGGCTGAAGTTATGAAAATCGATAATTATAAATACAACTTGAAACCAAGAGATAATATGGATCAGGAATTTCTCAATATCTATGTGATTGTTGAGAGTGAAATCATATGATTTTTAGATTCACAAGCTTCGACTTTACCGATAAACAAATCGTCCCAATATTAACGTGGACTCAATTGAGGATCATTATAAAATAATCGTTTTTATTCCACTTCTTGGATTTAATTTAAACTCAAATCAATGAATGATTTATGATTTATCAAATGGCTCTATCCAATTTACAAATACTATATCTCATAACTCCCTAATATATCAAATCTTGACATTGAAAAATTAAATATTTAGCAAATTTTATTCAGAGTATATAAATGTATCTGAAGCCAATTGATTACAGAATTTAAATGGTATTAAAGATTCATTTTTGAAGATAATTCTGAAAGTAATGCAGTGGAAGAATTGCATACTTTAAAATATATAAGTTTTCTAAATATTTTAAAATTATTGTGACAATGATACCAATTAGTACAAGCACAAATATAACACTTCTTATTTATTACAGAGAATAAAAACCTTTATCAAAAGTATAATGTCTTAAATTTGATTGAATAGATTAGCTTTACTCATCGAGATCTAATCCTCAACACAAAACAAATTATTAAAAAATTGGCGCAATCACAAAGAAGATATTTTGAATAAGCTTTTAAATCATTATAAAATGTTTAATTTTATATTTAATTTTAATTTACATACTGATTTATATAGCTATAATATTTTTTAATCGTAATATATTCGCTTTTACTATTTTGTATTTTCCAATATTTTATTATTTGTGTTCAAATTATCATTTATATATGATTGGTTCTAATAAATTTTATATGAAGATTAGTTCTAATAAATATTTGATGCTAAAAATCATTTCCATACATAAAAAATTACCCCCCCCCCCCCCTAGAAAATTCCTGGCTACGCGCCGGTAACACGATCAGTCAAGAGGACATACGACAACGAATATGAATGTCAACGCAATCTTAACCCACCGTTACCAAAGAAGTCAAAGAATTACAATCTTTTATTGGTATCATTAATTATTATCAATAACTGATTGGCCGAAAATAATATGTGAACCATTTTTACATCGACGAAATGAACTCATGATAGAAGCAGGATGTATATTATGAGGATTTAGAACTGTAATTCCTAAAATACAAGTAAATAATTTATCCTCTATATATATGGGCCACCAGGGTATGACTAACACAAAACTATTAGTCCAAGATAATGTATGGTGGCCTTAAATAAAGACTTGAAATAAGTTAAGAATATGAATTATATCAAATACAAAGCCCCAGAGGGCTCTATGCAAACAAACAATGGGAACGATTTAGATTGCAGTATATTTAGTGATAAAGATAATTTTAGTAAGTAACCAGAAATATAAATACTTTCTACAAATAATTTTATAGAAGTATTATTATAATACCTTGTATAATTAATTATTATTAATACTAGTTGTAAAAGAGGTCTCTTTATGTATTAAATTGAAATAAAACATTCGAGATATCATTTACATTAAATGGCTTAGAACTTTTATATATACATAGGGAGTTGACACCAAGCACAAATGAAATCATTGATAAATTAGCTTAATCCCAAAGAAGATCGAATTTCACATTATAAATCTATAACGTTTCTTATATTTTTCCACATTTAATACACCCATATTTTTTCTCATGAACACTTTGTAAATTTATATACATGCAATAATTCTAAAGAATATTTTTGTGCATTAATCTATATTTCCAAATTTAATAATCCCGCCATGCGTATGTGCATGTTGATATGGAAACTTGTCTTTTAAATTGAAATCGTATCTTAATTTTTGAAGAGAGATGGTTAATTTTAAAAGGTATCTTTCGTAGAATCCTATCCCTTTTTCAATTAGTTACTTTAGACATTATCTATTTCGAATAGGCCCAAGGTATTTTTATTTTCTGTAATAAATCTCTATGGTAGATCGACTTATGGCTAATTGATCTGGTGTCCTTCCACAATTTTCTTAGATCATTAATGATGATCATTGTAGTCATACCTCTAGATATTTGAAGAAAGCAAAGGTTATAAGTTGCTGAAATTACAATCGAATTGTAAAAAATTAAGAGATTGCTAGGCCTCGTTTTGTAAGCGCGATATCGAAACGATGCGTAATTTATAGTTAAACGATAGCATAGCTGAATAGTTTAACAGTTTGAGCGACATCGCGGTAGAGGCCTTAATTCCTAAAAACAAGATAAATTTACATAGAACATTTTGGTGACCAAAGTGCTCAGTGGAGAATATCTATACATCAGGCCCAATGTTTTCTGCATTGTCCAACCAAATAAATATTATTACAAATTTCCCGAGTCAGAAAGAATGTCGAACAACTCTATGGTGATAATTTTTAAAACACATCAACTTCTAAAGATTTTGAAAATTATTTTCCGTTGAAGGGAAAGGCAATTGGTGAGGCCAGTCTCCCATATGCCTCTATCTAGTTACACACCTCCCCGATGATCGCTAATCGTAAGTTTCATTAATTATTATTAAAATTAAACAAGTCATACTAAAATAAATCCTTGAAAAAATTCATCTTTAAAATTCTGACCTTCCTTCAAACCGTTTTTTGAGATAATCGAAGAGAGCTTTTTGCATCATGTCTGTTACTTCGTAACCTTTAAGCGAAGGACCGACTAGGACTATGGGTCTCATAGAAGGCACTACATCGTAAGGAGGTATATTTTCGGGCTAAGAGTTATATGGTAGCAAAATATAAAAAAATGAAAAAGATAATTAAATTTTTAAGTAAGATAATAGTATGTTGTAGTGTTATTAGAGGTTACGTGTGATAAGTAACTAGCTAGTTATTAGTATTTCAAAAGTATCATGTTATATTACAAATTATTTTTTAATCATTTGTATAACTCATCATTTTTAATAAATTTTTTTCATATACAAAATAATTATGTCAATTTCAAATTTTAATCAAAGGAATTTAAATGAAACTAACTAAATAATTGTACTGAATGAAATATACTACATTATAATATTTCCTTAAACCGAAAAAAATATATAAATCAGAGACCTGCAGAAGTACCATTTGCATGGCTAGGCTCGGATTTTTTTCGCCACAGGTTTTATATTTTCAGGCCCGATCCGGAGTTTTTTAAAAAAAATTTTATAAGATTTTTTTTATATAAATTTACTTAATAAATTTTTATTTGACTATAAAAATAAGCTATTTTCAAAATTAGAGAAAGGCATGTTTTTTTATATAATTCCTAGGCCAAGCAAAAATTCTGCAGAAGCGCTATATTTAATATAGTCATTTAATTTTGAGAAATTTTATTGCTGTGCATATGATTTATCATTTAACATTTAATTCTAATTTTTAGCCTGAGATATTTTTACTATTCTAAACTCAAACATTTTACTTTTCTTTCGTTTTAGGCGTAACCCGCTTAGCTTCAAAATAAAAATTATTATTTCTCTTCTTTATCCTTAAAATTTTTATTTCACTATTATTTCATAATATACAGGTAAAAAAATATAATATAAATCGACATCATTGAGCTCAATTCATTCATAAAAAAATCAGACCTGGAGGTCAGACCCTAAGTCCGGGTAAAAGGACCGGGCCTTATTTTAATTTTTTTAATATACCCGGATCGGGCCTAAAAAAATTTTTTAAAAAAATACCAGGGCCGGTATTTTAAATCGCCATTATTAGTTATAAAAATTAAAAATAAATGATATATTTTAAAAAAAATCTGGGTCGAGCTGAAATTTTTTTTAAAAAAACTCTATTTTTCTTTTATCAACCTCTTAAATCCTGTGAGCTAATTTGACATCATATTGCATGTTATATTTTATCGTTTAAACCCGATCAATGATTTAATGACATTTATGAAATAAATAAATAATAAATTCAATCGTTTATTAATAAGTAAAAAAATATGTGCTTTTGTATCTATTTAATTATCAGTTAACTTATGACTAAATTTCCGCTTCGATTTCTTTTAAATTTCTTGATATTACTTCTTATTTAGATATTATTATTAAAACTTCTGAAAAATGTTTATTTCATGTATGTCAAACATGAATTTATACGTTTTTTAAATTTCTATAATTTTAAAATTATGAGCCCAAATTAACACTTTGAAAATTTAATAAATAATTTTATTACCATTGAATTTATATATTTTTTTCTATAAATAATGATTGAAGGTGATATTTCGGAAGCAGGTATTGATGATAGTGAGGATAATTTTAATCATCCTAATGATATTATGGATATCGATTCACCTACACATCACTCCACATAGAACTTAATATGAAGGTCCTAGTATTTCTAATCTCAATAGTAATTGGGTATTACTAAATATTGAATCATTTAATACATTTTCTAAAAAAAAATTATTCCCTCCAACTATATAAAATTGAGCAATCAAATCTATTTTGCTTTAAAAAACTGGCCAATCTTTGAAACCGCTAAAAATGATATTTTTCATTCATTTACTTAAGGTTAACGGTTTCATAATATCATCAATAATGGTCTCAGGAATTCAAATTTCCTTCTGGAACCGATACAATGTCGAGAAAATGTTTCAAACAAGGAAATATTTGCATCTCAATAGGATAATATAAATATAATTCCAAAGGGCACAACAGATGAATTCAAACCAATATGAAAAAAATTGAAATGGAGGAGAATATTTGTATTGACGAATTTTTGATACCATTCAAAGGTTAGAATACACTGAAATAATGGGTATAAAAAATTTACCCTTGCAGGAGTCTCCGAAATTATTTACAATTTTAAAGTGTATACATTAATTATAAAAACACAAACACCATAGATATATTTCTTCGGTTAGTTCAAAAAATACCTCATTTTGAGATTATAATATTCACACTGATAATTTTTTCTCCTTTATGCCTCTATCGTTAAATCTTAAAGAAATAGTTATAGTACCATACGATCCAACCGCCTAAAAAGTTGCAGTTTGAAATGATGTGATCTCAAGAAAAAAAGGAGAGGTAGCTTTGATTACAAAAATAATAATATAATAATTGTCAAATGGACAACGAATTTGCTCACGTAATATCATCCTTCAATGGCATCGACCCAATAGAAGATGTGAGGCGATAATTATTAGAAGGTTCATTCAGATCCTTAGGCCTCATATTTAAAAAAATATAATGAAGCAATATGCTTGTGGAATGCTACAGAGTAGATATCAAAGGTAGAAGAGAAGAAATGTTTTATAAAATTTAAATCTCAAATAATATTGGCAGGTAAGAAATATATCTCACAACAGCGTAACTCTATTTTATTATATAATTTTGAAATTTTACTTATCATTATTCGATTTTTAAAAACGACATGATTAAGATTTTAGCTAAAATAATATTATGCAAGTCTGGAGATTTTGCTCATTGGAAAGGTTTGGACCTCTATTTGCCCAAACTTGAGCCGTTTTTAAAAATCGGCCCGAATGGGGTTTTTTATCAACCCCATTTCTATATATATAGAATTATTTCCAGATATTTTATGATCATCATTAATAATAAGAAACGATTATTACATAATTATACAATCTTTCAATAAGATTATAAATATTAAAATTACTTACTTTATTCGTTACATTCTAAAAATGCAACTAGTTACAGTTATTTTTATGCAAAATATAACTAACTAGAAAATTTTGGAATTCAATTTTTTAATCTTTTGGACGTAGCCCTTTACAAAAAATTTTAATGAATTCTTTTGATGAAGATACAATTAATTTACTGAAAAAAATTATCAATATAATAATTATCTTTCATAAGAATTTGGGCTTAATAAATTTTTATTGATAGGCTATTTACAAAATTGGTGTCTAAAGAATGTGCTCGTTTCCCTCCAAAAATATAGTTATCTAGACCGAACAAACGTTCTAGAGGAGAGACTAGTATTGAGTGAGACATTATATTTAATAAACAATAATTCTAAATTTGGGACCATGAAAACAATGAGTTTCAATTTCAATTCTGATCTTAAAACGGGATATTCAAAAAAATTTATTTTTTGACATCAAATTTATTTAACTATATATAAATATTTTAAAAGTAACTTGAAATATAACGAGTTATTTTTATCGTTACAATCCAAAAATAAAACTAGCTACAGTTATTAGTATTATTTCAAAAGTAACTAGTTATAATTTCAGAAAATGTAACCGGTAACTATTTAAATATTGCCAATTAATTTAACAACACTACAATGTTGAAAATAATTTATCGATATAGAGTACAATGTAAGAGAAATGGTTATGAAAAATTTGTACAAATCTTATAAATAAATCTTATTTCAGTTAAACTTTTATATTTGAGCAGAATAATTTGACAATCAATTTTGAATAATTATCCTTAGTTCAATTAATGGGATTATAACTAAATTAAATTCATTGAATTTTAAGCTAAATGATCAAGATTTTTTAAATTTAATTAAACTTATATATTTGACAAAATAATTTTATTATTTTATATTAAATGCCTTAATAAAATATAAAATGTATTGATTAATCATAAATATATTATGCCCATTTTACTAAATGAAATATATTACGTACAAGTTAGATATACTAGTTGTAGATACTGATAAATGATAATTAACTTTATATATTTAAAAAACAATTTAGTCTCTACCTTATATTATGAATTTTCAACAAAAAAAAAATCATATAAAAATTTCAAAACCCAAAAATGATGAATGTGTTAAGATGACCTGATTAATTTATATATATATTTCTTTTTTGTTGTTAACTTAATACTAACCTTGCGGATTCATTTTATAGTATTAACTTAAAAATTTGATTTAAATTAATTTTTCGTTTATATAAATTATTATTTTCGTTTTATATAAATTATTATTTTCGTTTTATATAAATTAATTTTTACAAGCTATATATGCATGAAAATTATTGCATTTTTAGTTAATTGAATAAATAAAATTTTAAAATACTTTCTTAAATTTGTTTTTCTATCTTTTTTGTAAATTAAAATTTTATTAAAATATAAAGATTAATTTCATATTAATTATTTCACATTTCTAAAATAAAATAAATAAATAAGAAAAAAAAATTTTTTTTTTACAATTAATTAAATATGGTGGACGATAAAAAAACCCACTGTTTCTAATGATACTATATTATATAAATGCGAATTTCCAAAATATATAGGAAACATTGATACATATTTAACTAAAATTGAACTTATTTTTAAAAATAATAACAGCACAGATGACGATAACGCCACGACCTTACCACATAATTTACCAGATGACATATTTTCTAAACTACAATCGATATGCACTGAATCCGATCTCAAGAAATCGTCGACACTTATCAACAAACTTAGATTATTACAGCCTGCCAAGATTCGAAACACAAAAATTAGTGAATTCAATGCAGCGATTCAAAAAGAGAGTGAAAGTTTTTTAGATTGGGGTCACCCGTATTTGTCAGCTCAATATGAACTGCAACTTTATCGGATATGACAGGGTTTTAGAAAAAATAAAGGTATCAAGCTTATCTAAGGAAATTAAATATAGAATTAAAGATATACTCATTTTAGATGACATTATAAAGATAGGCAAAGAGTTAGACGAAACTGACATTGAAACATCTATAAATAAGATTGTTATCAAAGACAACACACACTCTGATCTAAACATTTGGAGGGAGTAAGACAAGATAAGAAAGTTT